CTGGCGGCGGCAACTCCCCAGCACGGTGCACCTCGTCCCGTTCCGTCTCGGCCAGGATCGACCTGCCATTCGGAACGAGGTCCAATAATCAAATAGTGGCGATTAAAGCTTCATCTCTTGATTGAACACTGCTCCGCATGTGACCTTCAATTCGCGTTCTCGGGCTTGCAGCTTTCATTCAACGACGGGAATAGTACGATGGTTCAAGATTCTTCCCGTCATGTGTCTGCTCTTCTTCCGTTCTCCTGTTGGTGCGATTTGATCACTGAGTAGCGATCATCGGAGAGGATTGCCATCACTTCCAATCTCGTCTTGTCTTATACCCCTCTGTTTTGATATATCCTGGGTTGATGGCTAGGATTTGACAGTTGTGAGATGCAGCGCCATGACCTGCTTACCAGTGCTTCACTGGCACATGCACGAGGTTCAGTACTTGCTAATCGAAGACACTCGCGGCGGTAACTAACCATGACATGTCTCCTAGCCGTCCTTTTCTTGCTTATTTCACAGAACCCGAGAAGGCCGGCCCAACGATCTGAAGACAAACGGCAACACTCTCAATCCGGAAGTCTGGACATATCTGTTTTTCGAACAGTGTCTAGAATCCTCCGAGCATATGTCACAAGGTGGCAAAGAGTAAGCAAGCAAGTTACGTGGAAGGACATCGATATTGCCGTCGAGAGAACCGCTTCTTTGCCACATCTAATGACGAGTAGGTCTAGGTGGCCAGCTTTCCTTCTTGATCAACGTCAATTCCAACTCCCATACCCTCCCTCTCTAACCTTCTATCAAACTGCGCACTATCTCCCACCCACCCTTTCTTTTCCCTCCATCCAAACCAACCACAGCTTCATAACATCTCTTTACCCACCAGTATATGCTACAACCTTCTACGCCCCAAACGACTCTCAACCCAACAGCGCGCCTCAAAACCCGGAATATCCACCAATACATCTCTCGAAACCCCCACAATCGATTCATAGGCCGAAGCACCCGCAAGATTCCGCTGAAGAGGAACGTCTTGGATAGAAGAAAATGATGCTCGCTCGATTTGAGGGTTGAGCTTTGAGCTTGATGAGGAAAATACAGGTATTATTGCTATTCTAGCCGAGGATTTTATGGATGGATTGGAGAGGTACATCGTAAAGGGAAAGAAGCTTGATCGATGTTCTTATATATAGGTAGTATAGGTATGAATTGCTACCTAAGGTAGTTGGATATACTGTCTGTCTATGCAAGTGTATATGTGTAATTGTTATCATATCTTCCTACCTACCAAAGCGCAGGAGCACCCTATCCCATAAATTTTCCCATCCAGGACCCCTCCCATTTTTTACCTCCTCCCCACGAGCAACAGCTTCTCACAGCCCCCTTCCAAGCACAATCCGTACCTTCTCACCCACTCTCACTCACAAGACCTCAAGAACTCACCCTCCTCTTCCTAAACGCAACCTCAGGCGGCAACCGGAAGCTCGCGCAAAACATACGTTTCTTGGGCGCCACATCCCTAACCTCATGAACCACGACCTCCGGATCGCCAGGCCTAATTTCAAACTCCAAATTTTCCGAGATGCGCTTACAGATAGCGATAGTTTCGCGCACGTTATCATCGCTCTTGGTGGAGAAGCAATGGACGTGGATCATAGGGAGACGGGTTTGGGTGTGTGGTTCGAAGAGCGCTTCGTGGCCTTCGTAAAGGCCGGTGAAGGAGCCGAGGAAGTCGATCGCGGTCGCGGGCAGGTTCATCACGAAGTGGTTGATGGTCTGCGGGATCGTGAGGATGGTGGGCGGTGGGATGGGGTCCGTGGGTAGCGCTTTGCGGGACCGTTTGGCGGGGATGGTTATGGTGTTTTGGTGGGTCGCGGTTAGGGAGAGGAGATCGTCCGCGGCGGCTTGGATGAATTTGTGACCGTCGGAACAGAAGGGCCGGACGAAGTTTGAGATCTGTGGGGATTGTTAGCTATGCGCTTGCTATATAGCCTTTGTGACGAGAGATAGATGATGGTTCGATGTCAGATTATAATGCCTTGTCAAGGGCGATATCATCAAAGTCAACTCGTGACTATGTTGACCGTCGTGATAATCAAATCATCATGTAGAAATAGAAGAGGGGAACTTGGCAATAGAGATATACGAACCTTGTTTCGGGTTATAGCATCCTTCAAACTAGCGTAGCTGTCTGGGTTGAGATCGTTGGCCCAGACGAATACCCCTTTCTTCCCAGCCGGGCAAGCGAACGGCCCAACGCCAGCCATTACATCACACACAACCTCTCCCGGATTGAACATATCCACAAGGCGCTTGTGCTCCGTCTGTAGCCGACTGTTCCAATAGACTTTCGAATAGTCGAACCTGAAGGTGCACTCTCCTTCTCTGATCTCGACATTCATGTCATCTTCACCAGCAAGAACCTCATAGCCGAAGGTTCTGTATTCTGAATGTGTGCCAACGTCGTCCGTCTTGTTGATGACCGTCCGGACTGCGGCGTTCTTGTCTACCAGGACTTCTGCAATCAACTTCTTATATGGGAGGTACTCTTCGCGAAGGTTCAAATGTGCTGAAGCATGTTAGTAGAGCATCCCCCACTAATGGAATCCGACACATACCAACATGTCCAACAATAGCAAATCCTACGGGTATCTCTTCCTGTGCCTCTTCCGGTAATAACGCCGTCATAACATCATCTGATGTCTGTTAGAACTTTCAAGTTATCATCTAGGGACTCTCGACATACGTACGATAGGTCCAGTAATCATAATCAAGTGCAAGAGTGTATGGGATGACCTTGAGCTCTTCGGCCCTGACAGCCTCTTGTAGACTTGTACTCCATGTTTCTGGAACTGCAGCAAGTCAGCAGCTAGCCTGCATCCCAGTTCGGTATTGTATATACCTTCAGGCTTCACCTCCGGCTTCAAAAGTAGACATTTCCCTCCTTTCGATGCCAAGGCTGGATCTGGATCTGGCCGAACATTGATGAGCCTTTCCAGTCTCAAAGCATCCTTGCTTTTCTCTAGTTGCGCCCTGAATCTTGATATGTTCTTGACGTCCAGAACTCTTGCTGCTGCAATCGGTACTCTTTTCGTGAAGAGGGAGCGGTCCAGAATCGCGCCCGCCGAGCGGATTATAGGGGGCCTGAAGAGAGACATGGGGTCGGAAGAGTCGTCCTGCAAAGGGTTAGAGGATCCATTGGGTATTCACCACAAGCACGTACCTCCATGGCTTCATAACGCTGAACTTCGCATTTGTTAGAGATGCTTGCAGTTCGTTCCATTTTCGCGAGTCATAAATTTTATGCAAGGCTGAGGTCCAAAATCGCGCTAGTGCAAGGCCACCAGGTACCGAGGTACCAAGGTATGAGTGATGTCATCTGACGAGCCCGATACAGAAGTCTACGCAGCCTCAAGGGCATCAGAACAAGCAAAAAGCATTCACGATGTCAGGCCCTGCAAGGAAACGGACCCTGGATACTTTTTTCAAACCTACCTCAAAGAGGACCCGTGTCTCAGAGGACAATGGTGGCAGTAGCGACCTAGAGATTTCATCTGAAGACCATGTAAGTAACTACTACTCTCTGTCGGATTGCAAGGCTCATATTACAGAAGCTGGAATTCACTCATCACTCGTCGTATCCCTTTCCAATACCATGTTTTCCATACTCTGTTTCAGCCAACTTCACCTCACTTCCTTGCACAGTTGGCAAGGCCATCAATGACCAGGCCGATCTTGACCTCCTCTACTTCCAGCCATATATCCCCAAGAATCTTGAACGCCAGATCTTTGAATTCCTCCGCCGAGAATTACCTTTCTACAGAGTTGAGTATAAGATCAAGCGCGGAGGGGTCGAAACGCAAATACGAACTCCGAGGTAAGTCCAATCACACAAACTATCCCCCCCCCCC